CGAATGAACAAAATGCATCCAAACTCTACTTTCATTACCATCTCAAATGCCCAACTTTTACATCCGCACTCATTTCCTTAATTCCTCAAAGGAACAACATCCATATGCTAACATATGGGAAAAACTCGTTAAGATGAGAGTGGAAGAGTGTTTTCCCATGTTTTCTCCGGACCCCATTGCATGTCCAAAGACATTCCCCGAGGCCCCATAGTCAGAGCCAGCCCTAGATAGAAGCATGGGAAGCACATGCTTGGGGTCTTAAATTATAACAAATATTTGAAGGGCCAATTACTTACGAAAATCTTCAGTAGTTCACTTGGTTCAAAAGATATCTAGGGGGCTTAGTGATTTGAAGTTCGAACTCCCCTATGCCATTTGCCAATTGTTTTTTTTTTTTTTGCAACTTACAGTTAATGAGCCCAAAAACTTTTTTGTGCTTCGGACCCATCCAGCTTCAGGACCAGCACTGCCCATAGTTAGTGCCTAAGAATTAAAGCACCTTACAATTTAAGTGTACAACAAAAAGGTCATTTTTGTGTGATGTCATGGACCAAAGGATAACATGCAATTTGCACCACTTATGAAGAACTTAGATATAACTAATCTACGAACAAAGAGACACGAAAAGAAGAGGTAAATGTTTATTAGGGATCATCATCAAACAACATTATAACATTTGTAGGAAATTTCAAAGCTTAAAATGATGTCTATATACATTGTCCCTTCTATTAATTCAAATTGCTTGATAATTCCCCCAACCTCACATTACACAATATTTGGATCTGCCCTAGCTTCCTCATTGCCTAGAGAACCAACAAAACTTTAGTTAGAGATTAATTGACGTTATAAGACTTGCCAATAACAAACACACTTGATCCAACTAAACCACGTATTGTCCAAGTTTGCCTATCAAAAAGGTTCAAAACAGAAAATCATTGTGACACCCGTCTCGCTAACTTAGCCGAGACGCCAAGTCATATAAACTACCTTAACGATTATTTTATAAAATTCGATAATTTATTCCATAAACCAAGTCTTAAACCATTCCACATTAACCATAAATCCAACTCCATAAAAATCACGTGAAAACCAATGCTAGAAATACTAAGTAAATTGTTTTAAAAATCGAAATATAAATTCCGTTAAAACCAGCACCTGGACAACAACCACCTT